TACAGGTAAAATTATAACATTTTAAGGGTAAATTTATCTACTTTTATTAAGTAATCCTCTATTTAACCAGGAAAATCACACTGAGATCTCTTCTGCCTGGGAGTCCTGGTCATAAAGTGAATAAAACTAGTTTCATTTATACAATCAAGCAGGGACCAATAATGCAAAAAAAACAATACAACAAACTGAAACACACAAACAAGCGAGAACCAACAGCAAACATGAACAATGGAAAACAAAAAGCACATGTTCTCTGAAAACTGATTTTTTTCCAAGTTTGAAATGTTTTGCAGCTTTTTTCCCCCAACATGTGGTGCATGAAAGAAAAGAGCAGATTTACACAGTTCGGTTCGGGCGGTTGGGAAATGATTTCCTCTGATGATCCAGCATTGAAGCTTCTGACGATCAACAAACTGGGAAAGTATCGTAACTTGTCCAGTGAAGCTTTTGTAATGTAAATTATGTTTTCAATAATTTCCCAGAGGTTTCACATGAGTTCAACTGCAACACAGTGAATTAGTTCAAATTAATTACAACCATAACCCACAGGTCTGTAGCTCATGAGCAACTGAACCTGGTTTCTACAGGCTTAGAATTCAACATAAAGACACTTTAATGAATATTTACTTGGAATGAAATTGAACATGTCTCTGAAAGAAATTGTAATTTCAACCAAATAACATGATGAATGATGTTTGCATTATGTGTGTATTACTGTGTGATTGACTAAAAAAAGAGCTGTATAATGGAATTACATTTTCCAGAAGACAATAAAACAAAAAGACCAAGTGAAACATTTGTGTCCTTCCTCACTCTTTACTCTTCAAACAACCTTTTCCCGACTTTACTGCTTTGCCCTTCCTACATTGACTCCACTATTCCAATAAACCCCAAACTGCTTATGTCAAATTTCTTCTCCACGTTCCATAAAGCCGATGCTGGTGCACAGGGAGCTGTTGGGCACACGTGCGCTGGACAAAGCCTCTGTGAGTCAGTCCCATTGATCAGCGTTTGTCGAACAGCAGAACAACAGTGTAGTCGTTAGGTGTGAACGCAGCTCCAGTGGCCGGCGTTGGAAGCAGTTTCATGTCCCAGGGCGCGGCTTTGTTTCTGCAGGGGTCGATAAATCGCTGGAGCTCGAGCAGGCCGCTGCACTCATTGCACCGTGCCTGTCCATAAACCCTTCCTCCTTTAAACATGCATTTTTCATTTCACACACACTCATGCACCGGGGGAGGGTGCATGAGCCCGAAGTATCATCCGAGTAAGAGGCCTTTTTTTTCTTCTTCTCCTTAGCACATTTAAGTTATTTTCACAACATTTACATGTGGAATGAAAGAGTGAGGGGCGGACGTGCAGCGTGATAACTGCACACGGATGTGAGAAGTGATTCAGCGGGATGAGGGGAGGGGGGGCTATGATGACAGGACAATTAACACTGAGGCAGCTCGACCTTCTCCGCTGCACTGAAACCTCTTCATCCACTTTAAAGAGACTATGAAATATGTGTTTTGTTCATGTGCTACGTAGAAAAATGTGAAATCTGTGAAATGATTTGCAGTTACACAAAATCACATTAAGTCCTGACACACGTCTGACAGATAGACGAGGGAGGAAGTTCACGATGAACACGTGACCTTGTACTTCGGGAGGATTTGAGGGTTTATATCATCATCAGCAAACTTCCTCCTCATCCGCTCAGCGTCTTGATGCTGCGCTGAGGTCAAGCGCACTCTACGACCCCCATACACAACCACACAGAAGGAATCAGCCGTGAACTGGGACAGCGAAGCATGAGCAGGTTGGAGGTCAGAGCAGGGTTGGCTGAGGACGCTGACGATAAGCGGTCGGAAGGAGAGCGACGTTGAACAACAGGACAGAGCATGACGTAGGCTTACACGTAGATAAGCTGACAGAAACACAAGGTCGGCGGCAAGCCGGGCTCTCACAAAGGGAGATGGGAACACGAGGTCGCAGCACAAAGGGGATCGTGTTTTCGACAAGAAGAGAGAAAACTGTCATGGACTTCATTGGCAGGTTTTGCAGTGAATCATTTGGAGATGTTGGCACAATGGAGTTAGAGGTAAAACCAGATCTATTCAAATAAAAACATGAAACCTAAGTTTTAAAAAGTAATTTTTCCAAATACTAAAACATTTTTTAGTTGACATGCTCAGAAATCACATCACTGTCCTCAAACTGTCCACCGCTGCAGCTCCTCTTTTCAGCCTCTGTCTCAAACACTTAACTCTGTCTCTTTAAGACCCCCCCCCCCCATCCTGATAACTGGGTTTTTAGGGGGCGTGTCGGATGTGGGTGTTGTGACATCACATGACATCACGAAGGTGCAGAATAAATGACGAGGTGTTTTAGGAGCTTCAGTGTTTTCTATGGAGGAGGAGGAGGAGGAGCTTCCTTTACTGAAGTCTGAGGGCTTTTTAACTTTGCAAAACTTTTACCTTCACCCAAAAAAACTATATGTCACACTAGATGAAAGACAAAATAGTAAACTTTAAGAGTAAAAAAGTGAGGAGAGGATGTTAAAATATGTAAAAGAACAGAATCACCTCTTCCTCGCTGTACTCAGCACAATTCACTGTGTGGCCTTGGATGTAAAAGAACGATTGAAGCTGAATCCACAAGAAGTGAAAGTGTCAGTGAGGAAATAATTGCTCGTCTGTTGTTATCAATGTGTAGAAGAGCATGTAAATGTCCATGTGCAACATAAAGCCTGGACTTGTGCGTGAAGGGCTGTGGACTGGAATGCTGACACAGTGACAGAGACATGAACTATTGAAGTCTGATTACACGGAGCAGACATCACAGTCCAGATCAATGGGCTTCAACAGAACGTCAATGGACACGCCTGTGGCGATGTTACCCAGAGATTTAACAGAGTGACGAACTCTCCGGTCACTGGAAGCTCAATAGACGTCCTGTTGGGGCGTCTGTACTCCGATGATCTGAGAGCATGGGGTTATTGTATCTGGAGCTGAACGCTGAGGGGCTGAAGCTGGAAGAAATCTTCGCGGTTAAAAAACATTCTTCTCTACTCGTTGATCAGTGACTTGTTTTGTGCATTGGTTCAGTTTCTGTACCAGCAAAGAAAAACACAAGACACACAGACGTTGGGCGACAAAGGAGAGAAAAGACAGAGTGACTGAAAAGTGATTTAGACAAGAAGTGACACATTGAATTATTACTGGAGCGCTACCTCCTTTTTCCTAATTCATTTTGGGACACAATAAACTCAACACTCATCTGAAATACAGCGGAAAACAAGCACATCTGTTTCCTCTTATTTGGCCTGAGCCTTTGCCAGCAGAGCCAGAGGTAGACAAACATTTTCTGTTTTTTATTGCCCTTGATTGAGCTTCTTTAAAAATCAAATGCTGGCGACTCCTGGTAACTGTTCACTTTGGAATTGATTTGAATATTTCCTTGATTAACTTTCGTCATGTGCATCATCTGAACAGGTTGTCACAAATGATGGATCTTCCAGCCGCTTGTGAGGAGCACTTCAAGATCGAGTGTGATTTTTGATTTGCCTCTTCAAACCCGTCAATTTCAGGATTGCAGCAATATCGTCTTTTAAGGATATAAAATGTCCCAATCAAGGCAACAGGAAATTGTACTTGTGTCATATCTGTGGTTGAATCCAACTCTGCGATAACTTCTGAGACAAACGATGTATTCCTGTTTGTATTAATTACTCGTAGTGGATCATAATTCTTTGTTGCCGTTTGCTGCGTATCACGATAAAACTACCACATGCGTGACCATGATTTGTGCCTAAGTGGCATCGGGTGTATTTTCATCAGCAACGGTGGTGATTTTGTTAGTCTTTCGATTGCCCCCTAGTGGCCAGAGTTACATATTGCACATGCAAATCACCTATTTAAACTTTATTCAATAAAAAGTGGACACATGTTGTCGGTTTCATCTTATTTAGCCTCATTCGATAGTGTTTTAACCTTCACATGCTCTGACTCCGTAATGCACGTCACAACCTGATTCTGAAAGGTGCTATACATCACGAGTCCGTGTCCAAGTACACCTGGAGGGCGTGGGCTTCCTGTGAGTGTGGCAGAGCATGTGTGTGAGTGAGTTATAACTGTTGTCAGGTCTGTGAGCGGCTGACAGGAGCTGTGAAGGGAGACAGAGGAAGTCTGTCATGTCATCGACCTTTGAATGGAGCTGACCTTGCCCTTAGCAGAGTTACGGAGAAGTCGGGGAGGAGACCCTTGAAGAGCGGCCGACTGGGGTCAGTAAACATCCTTGTTGTGTAAGTGCAATGCTTAATCGTCCCGTGTTCATGACAAATCATACAGTGAGTGGCTTCGGAACCTCGTCACGCATGTGTCATATGTCCTTGTGCATATCTGCGAAGCCTGTGGCGGAGGCAGGGAGATACAGCTGAATGCGTCAAGCTCCATTAAGCCCTGTTTAGATAATAACAGTGAATGTGTCCTGGCTGCTGATACCACTGAGAGAAAAACACTCTGATCCTCAGACCTGCACAGTTTGACTCTTAATGCTCAAACCGTCATAAAAAATATGTGTCATATGAAAACCGTTCCCTTCAGACAAAGCATTTCAGTGCCTCATTTAACAACCTTAATGTTTTACTCTCAAGGCCAGAAGTCAAATGTGACCTTAACTTGATAAAGCCAGACTTTAACAACCTGTTTTCACTCCTTCTCCTCTACAGCGGGCGTCAGGCTGAACCCCCGGAGGCGGGAGGGAAGGAAGGAATTCAAAGTTTTATCTCATGAACGTGTCAGCAGTCGGATGCTTGTCCTTCCGTTAAAGGACAGTGACTCCATCTTGCCTCTGCCCTCTGACCCACAGTTTGAAGAGCTGAGCTTTAAATAATAGTTAGAAGCTTAATTATTATTCTGATTCTTGATTTTGATGAGCGTCAGGGTTAGAGAGTCAGGAGCCTGATTTACACCGAGGTCAAACCAGCATTGATTTTGACACCTTACAGCAAAAATGACCAGAGTGGAGAGGCGGTGAATTGGCCGACAGTCAGCAGGTTGTGTTGTTTTTATTAATGGCAAAGGACCTCTCTCTCTCTTTCTCTCTCTCTCTCTCTCTCTCTCTCTGTCACTCACCTTCTCTTTCTCCCCCCTTCATTTCCTGGCCGGGCTGCTAATGGGCGCGCTCCATTTACTCATTACTCAGATGGATAAAATGGCTTTTTATGTGGCGCCGGTGAGCCACCAAGCTCCGAGTGGATTCAGCAAATGAAGAGAAATCAGACGCACATTTCAGGCCTGATAAAGCAGCGCGAGGGTTTTTCTCAGCTTCGCCATTATCTGAGAAAAATTACAGCCCTTGAATACGACGTAGTTTTCTGACTCAGACTCAGAGTCCACGACGTGCTGAGTCGTTTGAGTGACAGATGGAAATGTGTTGTGGATTTCGTGCCCTGCACGATAACGGCGGCTACAAGCTGCAGCTAATTACAGAAAAAGGAAATTGACTTTTAAATGAGCAGCAGATGTTACCAGCCACCTGCGTTTTTAATACAGTAAATATAGAATCCATTCATCTGAGTGTTTTCTCTGTGACAGTGACGCTCTCGAGTGCCGTGGCTGTTCACATGATGAACGAGAAGAGTAACGAAGAAGACACGTACCTGATGCCTTTGATTTGTGCGATGCTGTGGTGGGAGATCCTCGACAGAGCAGAGATGACCTGAAACACAGAGAAAAGATTTGTTACCATCAAATTAGTCATTCTACATCTTTTAATTACTGATAAACATTTCATTAGCAAAGTTAATTTGATTTGAAGGTTATTTGTGGTTTTGTTCTAACTTAATTGACGGTGTCATCATACTGTGATAATGGAACTGCCCAGAAACGTTTGTTAGACACAAAAACCAGCAGTAAAAGTAAATATAGAACAAACTATGATGAGTCCAAATCTGCTGCCAAGGCTCAACAGTTAGTTCCCTTGAAGTCCGTCGATTTGCAGCCACTTTCACACACTCATAAATATCCGATTGTTTTCATAAAGGTCCATGAACCGAGGAATCAATGAAAAAACAACAACAAATACTTTTGTTTCTGGAAGCCGGTGAAAGGAGAACTCCTCGACTTGTGTCACACATTCTAACACATTCAGTAAACCAACAAGCTAACGGGTCAGCGATCAACAATACTTTCACTTTCTCCTTTGTGTCTGTGTTTTACCACGAGGAGGTTACACGTGTTCCGTTATCTAAGCTGATTTATCTCCGCTCGTGAGTCACACGCAAGTGGGTTTACGGCTGACGACTGCAGATGGTGCCGCTTATTGGGGTCTACAAAGGCTCGTCCAGGAAGATGAGGAAACCACCACCCCAAAACGCACACACACACAACAAAACACAAACCCCTGTCTCCTACGCCTCATTACCCACTCCTGGGTGCATTTCCGCTTGCAGCACCGTGACAATGCCAGATGCCTCCTCGACAGGGAGGAGAAAATTGTTATCTCAGCCCCTCATCCTCGGCAGGTGCGTCCTCCGCAGCCTCCCGTCGACCTCGCTCTCTAAAAAACACACAATGCAGCGTGTCGCCGCCTGGTTGTATTTAAAATTCAAGACGAGCCCGCGTTAATGGTCGTCGTGAGGAGAGGACCCATCACCTTCTGGAGTATTCAGCGCTGAAGTGGTGTTGACCAAAAGCCCCTTTTCACTCTCTCTATTCAAGTTGTCCTTATGTTTAACATAATCGCTTGTGGAGAAGTGGAGGGATTACGTTCGACTGCATCACATTCACTGACATTCAACCATCCTGTGTGTATTGGGGGGGGGGGGGACCTCGCCGGGGCCATCGCTCTGCAGGATGATAAGGGGTTATTTCTCCGTGTAGCTAAAGACCCGTGTAATAGGCAGTCATGTTCCTGCCTAATGGTTCCAATATGTGCCCAGTCGACCATTACCCACGTCCTTAACATATACTCTAACTGCACTCTGCAGCCGGGGACCCAAAAGAGACGGAGACAAAGACAGAGGAGAGGCGAGGTGCTAATTTAGCTGTTTAGTCAGTGGTTAGGGTGTTTAATAAATCACTGTGGATAAACCCTTTGTGCTGCTGGGTGGCGTGATGCCCACCTGGCCACGCTGCAGCGAGGGATCACATATGGCCCCAGAGTCGTTATAATCTCTTTTTCCCCGGGCCTTATTAGCCCCCATTGTCTTTGTGGAGGAGAGGCAGACAATAAACTGAAATTTAGACACAGAGGATGAGAACAGCCTGAAGCGGTTAGCAGGACGCTGGATGAATTCAGTATTTACTGACGACCCATGTTGAATCCTGGGTGGTGTGATCAGCTGTGGTCGAAGACACACACACCCGGCTCCAGCCAGGTTGGTCCAGGTTCAAAGGATAGCGGTCACACAGCGCTGCCGAAACTCGCTCGGCCTGCAGGGGGGGGGGGGAAGACGAGACTCGAGTGTGCCGGCGCCAAGCTCGCTATAGCGTGACTTCCACACATCACGTCATAAAGTCCATTAATATTAAATCTAAAGTTTCCTTTAACATTAAGCAGTTTGTTCCCGTTTTTCAGTTCATGTTAGCCTCACACACCATAATGTGCAGAATATGTCTCAGTGCTGGGAGGCGTCCTGTGACTCCCTCTGGCCTCGGTAAGAAATGCTAATTTGCAATCTGTTTCCAGGGCGGTGGAAAAAAAAAAAAAAAAGTCTTCTCACACTGACGAGTGCATAAAATGACAGTTACATTTTTTATTTATCGCTGTAATGTAGGAGCTACACTCTCGCTGCAGACAGAGTGGAAGTGGATACAGAGCGGTATTTGATTTATTTAGCCTCTTACTCGACAAAACCCATATGGAGGGAGCATTTGAAACCTAGAGGCTGCGCGTGACGCTGTAAAGAAAGATTTACAGTGGAGTTTCCCTTTAAAACACATTTTGAGACCTGATGTGTTTTATCACTCTCATAATGCAACTCCTCTTACTCCCCAGCCTCTCCGATTGTGTTTTCCACTCTCTGCCCCTGGTTCAAGTTCTCCTCTCGTACTGGAATCAAGCCCGGCATCACCACAACAATTTGCATTTCGATAAAAACGGTTGTGATTGGCCCAACCAGTTTAACGATGGACGTAAATCTCTCTGAATGGGAGGAGGGGCCGGACCAATCAAACGAGAGCGAGTAAAGACGGAGGACGCTGATTGGTCCCTGACGTACCTCTGATTCACTCTCTTCACCCTCCTGTGATCCTGTGCTTCAGTCAGATCCTTTGATTCTCCTCACATTATTAATTTCTCTCTCATCTCGTCCTACCGGTGGGGTGGGGTGGGGTGGGGGGAGTTAACTCTGGGGCTGGCCAGAAAATAAATCCTCTATCTCGTCCTCAGAACATGCAAAAGAAAAGTCACCCCATCATGTGACTTTCTCAGGTTTTCAAACCAGGATCTCACCTTCACCCCTCCCCCCTCACAGTTCCTTACATCTCTTAAGTCACATGGGACCAGAGTGTAACTGAAGACACGTGTTCAGTCAGACACCATCACTGATGTTTCTGCATTAGACTGACATGCAACATTTATAATTTATTGCATTATATGTTTGTATACACGTGTGTGTGTGTGTGTGTAGTGCAGGGATAAGGATTGTGTCTATGGATTAACTGTGAGGCGACGCAGAGTGTTCGCAAACACTCTCGTCCCCTGGCAACCGTGGGCGTGACTGAATATGCGTGGTCATCAGTTACAAATCAAATCAAACCTGCGCCATGTGCCATTAACCGCAGGAGGGCGGGGCTGTGATCTGATTAAGGTCTGAAAATGTGCACGAGAGGACTATTGACAGGCGTCAGGAAACACACCCCGCTGCCAATTGGGTTTAGATCTGATGCAGTCAGGGACGTGATTGAAGCTCACGCCGCAAATCAATGCACGCGTTGGCAACAAAGACTCAGGATTAAAGTGAAATGAATCATGTTATCATTGTGGAAGTTTCCTCATTTCTCTCGCTCTGGGCTCTTCCAGCAGCAGCCACCTCCCCAGGAGTGTGATATATTTCTGAAGAATTCACACTTTGACAGGACGGCATTCCTCCGCTCATGCCAGCCTGCTAAAGTGGTGGGCATGAGGCAAAAGGGGGACAAGAGTGGGAGAGCCAGGAACAGATGGCTGAGTGGGAACCCTGCGTGCCCGACATCAATAATAGACACACAGAGGACGGCTGAGCCCGTCCGTGTGTGTGTGTGTGCTTGTACTTGTGTATCTGTGAGGACCATTTTGAGCACAGTGAGGACATTTTGGCCGGTCCTCACTGTTTCACTGGGCTGTTTGAGGGTTAAGACTTGGGTCAGAATGAGGTTTAGGTTAGGGTTAGATTGAGGCTATTTAGTTGTGATGGTTAAGGTGAGGGTAAGGGGTTAAGGAATGTATTAAGTCCATGAGTGTCCTCACTAAGAGAGAAGTAAAAGGATGTGTGTGTGTGTGTGTGTGTGTGTGTGTGTGTGTGTGTCCTACTGTCCCACTGCCTGCGGGAGTTTCTGTCATTTACAAACCTTCCCTCTTCTCTTTTTCTCTCTCTTTCAGATTCCTTTTTGTATCATGCACATGAAAATGTTCTGTACTTCACAGTTAATAAAGCAAAGATTCTCCCAGAGCTGCATATTCATGCACGTGACTTAAACTAATTAAAATCTAAACAAGATTAGCACAAAAACTAAAATACTTAAAACTACAACCTAAAATCGAATGTATCCATGGAAAAGGTAAAAGTAAAAAAAAGGAATAAACCAAGCAACAATGCAACGATATCATGTAAAGGTTCATTCGGGATGCAGTCAGATAGAGCGGGCGAGGAATGATGAATGAAATACTACAAAATAAACCTCGATAGAACTTCTGCTGTCCTGAATTATAGTGAAAGTGACAGACACAACACAATCTCTTCTGGGACGTGTCGAGACTGCACACAACATCTCTAATGGTCTTTTCTGCCCCTTGTCTGAGCCTCTGAGTGAGTGTTGGACAGGAAACCTCATGAATGACTGTGATTAGTCTCCAGCTCATGTGTTAAAGTTGCTGAGTGCTATCAGGAGAGGGGCCTTTGCAAATCCTGATCCTCCGCTCAGATTGGCACCTGCCACATTGCACTAAATCCCTTGAAGCTGAACCTCCAGCTGCTTGATTACAGTAGATTTCTTTGCGTATGTCCAGGCCAAAAAAACAAAAAAAAACAGGGATAGTGCTGCTGCTGCTGCTCCTGACCCAAAGACCCCATTTAGTCTCCGTGCCAAACAAAGTGGCAGTGAGCCTACGAGGGGCATCGGGTCCAGAATGTACATACGACTGATGTTACAGATTGAAAATGTAGCTTATTATAGCTTAACGTAAAGCTGATGATGCTAAAGGATTTCAAACCTTCAGATTCCCGTGCATTTCCTGCGCCCGTCAATATAAATTATAGATGAGATTATTGTCTACAGATCAGTTTTAGAGCTGATGGAGCCCCAGGACCTTGTGAATTGATTTGATGTGAACCCGTTCTGCTCCAAGTATAAAGGGCAACTTTGGCAAATGTGTGCAAACACCTGCCAATACTCTGCAGCCATGTCCATGACCTGTAACCATTTCACGCTCAATCACCATACATGGGCCTCGCTCACTCATGTGTGATCACACGCAATTTACAGGGTGTCTGTACATGTGTGTTATAACACACATAG